AATATTGTGCTGTGGTTTTGATCCATTAGCAAAATTAAAAGAAATGTTGCAACTATTGGAGCAGTAGAAATAACAAATATGTTGACTTCATTAAACTGTAAGGTAGAACTCACATGAAATATTTTTGGCGGGGGGGTTAAAAGGGAATTTTGGGTTTGGACATCTAAGGTAGTATCAGGTTTGGGTAGGGATGGAGTGAATGCATAACCTCTCCTTTTGGGGGAATTGGAAAGGTATGCACTATTACTGACTTTTGCAGGACTGAACAAGATAATTTGGTGAATCTTAGGCCTTAATACAGGAATCTTACCAGAACACTAGTGTAATTTGAGATATATATTCCTATTTCAAACAGTATTTTTTTTTTTAATGAACTTAAATATTTGGGCTCAAAATGAAAAAGGTAATTAATTTGTGGAATGTTTTCAATAAAAGAACTTTGAGTATCAAATTTTAGAAAAAACATCATAAACTGTTTAGCTGCATGCTCATTCTGGGCTCCCCTTTGTTATTGTGTGTCTGACCAGAGGGATTGGGGACCCCAAGCCACAGTGTTAAACAAGAAAGAAACAAAGTCAACAACTCCTTTGAAAAAGCAAGTTCCACTCAGACAGCGTCTTATTTTGTGGAACAAATTCTTGAGAGAATGCTTCTCTGATAACTGCAATCTTAGTCTCTTTTAAGTCCAATATCTATCCTACTTGTCATGATAATCTCTTATTTCCCTTACAACAATCTACCTTGAGTGATCCTTGGGCCTTGTATTGGGAGAACTAACAGGTAAAAAAAAAAAAGAAAATAAATAAATTCTTTTATGACATATGTAGGGGTGGGGCTGGGAAGAAAATGTGATTGGTCATTGGATCAGTTTATCTTAAACTTTAGTGAGAACAAGAAGGAAAATGTCTTTGGATAATGTTCTGCTCAGAGACCAGATTTAATAATTGATTTTTATTTGTCACAAATAAAATGGGCCATTATGTTTCCTGAGTTACAGATTATTAATTGAATAGTCATTTGTTTAGTCTTTATTATTTTTATTGCATCTCTAAAAAAATATTTTGATATTTTACAAGCCTTTGGTTTGTAGCATGGATCTGAAAACCTATCATTGCAATAAATATATAATTTTTAAATACTTAAATGTGTCATTAAAAGACTTTGGGTCTAAGGAACTTTAATTTTAAATAACATTAAATTTCAAAAATCTGAAATTACTTTCTTTATTGTTGTATATGTGACCTATTAATTTAATTTCATAATTGGCAACAGATTGCTTCATTTTTGTATTTGTGCATGATAAATAGGACATTTTATTAAATTATTTAATAAAATAATACATGTAATCAGTATATTAATGGGTACAAAAGAGTAGTTTTTACAGCTGTAAGGTAAAACTTTGAACATAAAATTGCTCAAACAGTGAATAAAAGAAATGGAGCAGATATTCTTATTTCAATTCTAAAAATTTATATAATTTGTCAACTCCCCAGAAAATTTTGCACATGTTAGTATTTGGACTAAACCTACTTTGGTACAGTAGCACAAAAATTATGAGCTTTTATTGAAGATCAGTGTGGAAACTTAGTTATATACTAAGCTCAGTTTAGTTTGGGTACAAAGTCACAAGTATGGGGCACCCATTGAGGATTGAGCTAACTAATAATGATCAACCAGATGAGGTGCCAGAATAATTTTAATTTGGTCACTAAATCAAGTGACGATACTGGATTGTCTCTCCTCTTTTGCAACAGCAGAAACAACTATTCTTTCAGGATGATACATGTTTAGTTTACTTGTTTACCGTGTATGTGTGGCTGGTATTCACTTATGGGCAAATAACCTTGGGAAAGGCATGAATCCATCACTTCTTGCTAACCCCAGCTATGGGTAAAATAATACGACTTGTATCTGGGGGGTGCATTATTTCTCGAAAATTGTTAATGCAATATTCGCTTGCAAAAAAAAAAAAAAAAAAATTAAATCGTACAATGTAAAATATATTTTTTGGCTTTAAATAACTCACATAAATAAAAAAGGTTTGATAGACGGAAGGAAAAAACGGGAAAAAAAAATCATTCAATTCTTTTTTCAAAGTTAAAAAAACTAAAAAAAACTAAACAAATATTCATTAGTTATTAGATGGTTCCCGAAGAATTGTTTTCACTTTGATAATACTTTCAATTTAAAACTCAACAAAGTTAACCTTTTTTTTGGTGGAGGGGGGGATTAAAACTGCCCATATCATTTCATTTCTTCTTTACACTCAGTATTCTCACCAAACAGGGTTGCTCGTACTTGCCAGAGAGCGAGCATGAAAAACAAAGCTCGGGTATTTATTGGGATTACCAAAACAAAAAGAAAAGGAAAGGAAACAATGAAACTAAACTCAAGAAGTAATGCCCAACCGCCGGCCGTTAAGGACGAAATAAAACAAGTAATAATTGAAATAATCAGAGTAGCTAAGCAAGTTTCGCCATTGAATCGATGTGTTGCAGACAAACTCAAAGTGTTGATTGAATGTAGTTGGAAAGGTTGAATTTGAATACAAAGAATAAATGCCAGTGGCATTTAAATAGAATGTTAAAAGAAAAGTAAAACTAAAAGATAAATATTTGGCTTATTGGAATAAAACGATAAAATTAAAAGTGGAAAAATTAATTATTAATCTTTCTTAAAATCAGTTTTATTTTTGTCTTATTTTTTTTTAACTAATTTTTTTTTAAATTAATAAATGGAATTTTTGAACATTAGCCAGTCTTAGAATGTCTTTTTTAAAATTTTTTATTGTAAAACAAAAATAAATGTGTTTTGTTTAGTGCAGAGAAACTGACTTAGGGTAAATATACTTATTTATTTATTTATTTATTTTTTTAAATTTTTTTACTCCTATGAAAAAGCTGCAATTTCCCTACATTAAAAAAAAAAAAAAAAATACGCATTTTTTAAACAAAAAAATTACCTTTGTAAGCTTTTATGAACGTTTAGGTAAAGAATTTTTATTTATTCAATGTTTTTTTTTTCTTCTTATTCACTAAACTTTAATTTAGTTTTATTGAAATTTCAAAAACAGAATGATCTTGAATATTTTTAGTATTTTACTGTTATGTTAACAGGAGCAAAGCTTTCTAAAGACTTTCTTTACGATTCTAAGACACTACCTGATTTTTACTTTACAAGAAAGAAAATACATGCTTTTAAAACCTTGTAATTTGTGATTATCTGCAGGTATAACTGATAGTGATGTGTAACTAAAAAAAATAATGGTCATTTTATTTAATTTATTTGTAAAAGTGTACTAGAAAGCACTCACTGACGACACTACCCAATCTGTCCACCTCCACTGTATCCAGTTATTCACGTAATTTTCAGGACAAAAAATTAATAACGTTTTCAGCAAAAAAAAATGAAGGTAACTCATTTAATACTAAATCAAATCAAAACATACAAAAGCTCTTATTTTTAAAATAAGAACCATAAAAATTAATGACAGCGAGAAATATTTTTCATGGAAAACTGAAACAAAACAAAATGCGTCATTTTTTGGCACGAAAACAATTGAATACTGTACTTAACTTCTTATTTACAGGTTAATGAAAACTGCTTTTACAAACAAGAAACGATTTTTGATTATATATTTTTTTTTTACTTCTGATTTTCATTCTTTTGTTGCAAAAATGCAGTTATCATCAGTGTAAAATCACGGATCCAGAAAATCCGAGTTTTGCCTAAAACAATTTTATTTTAGTGCATCGTATGTGAACAGAATGTAGAAGAAACAACAAATAAAAAAAAAGTGAATACAAGCTGCTCTAAGATTAAGAATGAACCATTGAAAAGAAAACTGTACCAGCAGTCAAGTGTGTATAGGCAGAAAGGGAAGAGAGACGAAGCAATTACCATGGCAACTTGACTTATATAGCGACTGCTCAGGTGTATGTACGGAACTAATTTTTATTATTTTTGCATGCACTCGTGAGGGTAGATAGTTTATCCTAGAAGACCAAGACATTCTTTTTTGATAAGCAAGCTAGATTTGAAAAATGATAACAGCACATAATCACTGTGTGCATCTGCTCTTACTCCCCAAACAGAAACTCATTTTTTTAATTTTTTTTTTTACAATAATTTTCACCCTGCACAAGGCCTAAGAACCACTCGAAGTAGAAGGTTAGAGTAAGAAGAGGAACAGTTTTACATGGGAATATGTGGGGAAGATAACGAAACCTTAGATTTGAAAAGGTTTGGGGAAGCATTCACAGCTCATTCAACACACTAAAAAGTCTCTCTACTCTACTAAAAATAACAAAAATAAAAATAATCAAATCGAAATGAACAGAAGAAAAAAAATGGATGAATTTTATAATTTTTTTTATGATTATTATTTAATTGTATTTTTTAATTTTTATTTCTTTATTTCACATTTAGTTTAGTGGCTTAATTGCGATGTTTTTGACCGTTCGCGACTCTTCGACCATTAAAAAGTGAAATAATAAATGGAATTGAAAATTAATTATAAATTTACACTAGTAGGTCCCCAAGTGAAGATTTGTTTACTTTTAAAAAAATAAACTTATGGAGGAAATATAGATTTAATTTAATAACGTTATTAAATTTATACTCAACAGTAAATAAAAAAATAAAAGGTTAAAAAATGGCAGAAATGAGAAAAAAGTTTAATTTTTTTTTTTTTTTTACATTATTAACATAATGCTACTTAAATTAACCACACCCATAGCACGTTTGCAGTAAGCTGGTTTCCCACGAACTGCATCACAATCACATGTATGATTTCAACTCAACAATTGACCAAGCAAAAAAATAAAAGACGTGTCTATCAGAACACAACATTGATTTATCCACGTTATGAACTGCGGTAAAAAAAAAAAAAACAAATTTCAATAGTCGAATACAGAAATTTATCTTATCTTATAAGATTCCTTTACAAAGCCTTTTTTCAACATATTTTGATTACAAAACCCCCCCAAAAAGTGACTTACATGGGGTCTCGGCAGGCTTTGGGTCCATCGTCCTGTTGCGCAGCAGCTACTGGGAGGGGAGCGAAAAGATAGCAAGGGCAGGTAACTCTATCCCCCTCCAACCTACTCACTGGAAAAAATGTATCGCCCACCTAAAGAAGAATCATTTACAGTTCTAAAATTGGTGAAAACCAACGACAGCTGCAAAAGCAACATGAAGCAACTGATGAAAAAAATAAATATGGATACGCATAAATTTTTCTCATTTTTTAATGCAATCTGTCTACATATTTATAGGGAGTGGCAAAACTTTTCACTATAATTAATAATATTCTAATTAAAGTTTAATTTAGGGATTTATTACTGAGCATTAAAATAACTAATGAACATGTATGCACGCACGTTATTTGTAAAGTTTAACACTTTAACGTGCGTGCATACATAATTATTTCTTTTTCTTAAACTTTATGGGTTAAGGAATTTGGCGTACAATGCGGAGGTCTAGTGGGGGAGGGATACAGCAGCCCAGCCCCGAGCAAACGAATTGTACATTTTCAGGGTAAAAGCTGGTTACTTTGAGGGCAACTTATGAAAAATTTCACAGCAAATTCATTCTGCCTTACCGCTCAGTAAAATTTTTCTCCTGTACGCCAATGGGTTAGGGTTATTTTTTTTTTAAATCTTACACTTAAGTTACAAGTTGTCAAGTTTGAATAGGGAATTTGGATCTTTTCTGTTAATTCACCCTAAATAAAGTAATGTTACTCATCGCAAATATTAATTCCCCCCCAAGAAATTATAAATTTTAAATCAAAGTTTGTTTATTTTTTTATTAAATTTTTTTGGCACGCTTTTGAAATTATAAATTTTAAATCAAAATTTGTTTAGCTTCCCTCGCAACAACTCCACCCCTCAGAATGAAAAATTACCAAAAATCAGGGAGTTATTCATATTTCGTAAGTGTGGATGATATTCGGGGTACTTACAAAGAATTTTTTACATTTAAAAAAAAAAAAAAATCTGAAGAAAATAAATCTGTTTTGTGGTTGTTTATCGGGTGAGCGCGAATGTAAGACCCCCACGCTTGAAATAGCGAACCCAAGTCGCCCACATCTGGAGCAATTGCAAAGATCAACCCAACCAGAGTGCAATGGAAGGGCCTCGCTCTGGGAGAAGTTGGTGTGAATTTTAGTAAATATAAATTCTTTTTTATTTTGGGGTAAATTAACAGAAAAGGTCCACAAATTTTACTGAGAATATTTTTATTTTTATAAAATAAGCATCACACTAACAACTTTAGTTTATTTAGTACAGTTTCTCTTCGTCAAATTTAATTCAATTCTGAGTGTTATCGTAACACAGGATATACTGGAAATCTGCACTTCTTACCTCCTCGTTTTGGATTCAGTAACTCTCTACTTTGAGTGACTTTTGGATTTGTATTGGATGGTCAACTAGTAAAAACCATAAAACCTCCCAAAAACGGCGGATCGTAACGAGGTTTTTGTTAGCGCAATACTGTTAGTGTTAAATATATGCACGAGCGTGAAAAATAAAACAATTTTCAATCCAGTTTACAATTAAATAGTGTACTAAAGGTCTGTATTCGTGCATATCTCGAATATATGATACAACAGTTCCACTCTACTACATCTCAATTTTCATATGGTAGTATTCATATAAAATACAAATTTTATTGCGACTAGCCTAATTATGTACAATAATAGATTATGCAATATAGGTGAACAATTCAACTAGAAATTACAGATATGTCATAATAGATCATTCCATCAGAAATAAATCAACAATGTTTTGTGTCAGTTTTTAACATCAACTTGAAATTTTTCTGTCAAAAAGTTGAATAGTTTAACACATTCTACATTATGGTTAACAAATGGTGAATTTCACACAGTGTCTTTTTGAGCACGAGTAAATTCACGGATTTGGAGCCTCCCCCCCCACCCTCAGAAGGACGTCAAAATTCTCGAAACTTTTCGTCCTTTAGTCAGTTGCGCTAAGTTTAATTTGTAACGTATTAAATCTAAGTATAAAAAAGCAAATGTTGATAAGATAGGGAGTGTCACAAAGCACTGCCTGGGGCCCCCAATCAGGCTTACTCCCCATCGGTTGGAGAAGCAGGATCAAGTGTTTAGTAAACGCATCTATCTATCTATCTATCTATCTATCTATCTATCTATCTATCTATCTATCTTCTGTAGTTATTGGGGCGGATAGCAAAATCAGTGTGCCATAATATCAGAATTTTTTTCCTGGGAGGAAATGGGAAAAGATAGAACGCTCCATTTTTAACCCGAACATTAACAAAGGCGCATCCAAAACAAGACTCTTACTTGAACTTCAAAAGATCGAACATTTATTGTAAAACAAATTACAATATTTCACAAAATAGACTTACACAAAAAATTATATTTTGTGCGCCTTATTAAAAAAACAAGGCGAGATAACGTATCAAAAATATATAAATGATCTTAAACGATTTACAAAACAATTTTTAAAAAAAGGAAAACACTTTGAGAAGACAATACAAAATTTGAATAAAGGAGAAAATACTCTTTGAAAATAAAGGTGCATCCCCTCCTAATAGACGAAAAAATCACAGAACAAAAGGAGCTTTAGCAATTTCAAACCATTGGTGTCACGGGGAATTTTTACAGTTTATCTTTTTCAGAACACATTTATATTCACAGGTTTCAGTTCCTTTTTATGTATACTTCCCAGGTGGCAGCTAAAAATTGCTTTCCCTTCTGCCTTCATGATGACATTTTCATGTCACTTCATCTTCTATCTTAGTCGAAAAATGTGGTTATTTCTTCCTCGACAATTACAGTGTCTTTAGGTATATTAACTTGATTATCCTTTAAAGATTATCCAATGGCCCTTCACTTATACAATAATTGATTGGCTTCCAGCTGGCCTTAACTTCTAATTTACGTGGGCGTAAGCCAATGCTTTTTGAGTGGATAATAAATAGAAATATATATATATATATATATATATATATATATATATATATATATATTTAATTTAAAAAAATGAATTTGAAATAATCCGCCTTGACCGAAACATTTTTGGCGGTTTTTACAAGCAAATGTAACAATTTTTCATAAACCGCCTGGCTTTCTTTAAAATACACTTCTGTAAAAATGTACGCGTGTAAGACTAACCGAGCCGATTAAACACTTGTATTAATAATTATTTGTAATTATTTTGTATTACTGATACATTTTTTATAATGCCGCATTCAAATTCTGACCGAGTTGATTGTATTCTCTCTCTCTCTCTCTCTTTCACTCTCTCTCTCTCTTTCACTCTCTCTCTCTCACACACACAGACAGACAGAGGTAAATATTACAATAATTAGGTTTAGATATAGATATTTGTGGATGGTGTGGTATGAGCTTTTCTTTAATGGAAACTTTGGAATAAGGGCATACAATAAATAATATATTTTATTTTCTTTAGAATGATGAGTAAATCCTTTGATATTCGGTGTAGCAAATTGTTCATTCACAAGGCGGATATGTCCGTTTTTGTTCGTTAGTGGGTAGTTTTGAAGTCAGACTGTGCGAGGGGTAATACTAATATTAGAAATAGGTCAGTGTCAATCTATTGTATTTTTCTCGGTCCTAAGCAGGGCATACATATCATTAGCAAATGACCTTTTAACTACTTCATTCGTCACGCATGGCTGGTTTCTCCACGTTAACGTTCTTTTGTTCCGTCCCCCCACTGGCGTCCGTTTGCTTCTCGTTCAGAGGTATCAGTTTATATCCTTTTGACCATGCTCCGAGATTCCGTCACCCCCCCCCCACGAGGGCGTCATGTGGCACAAGGCCGGTTTAACGTGGGATCTCCGAGCCCGTGGACTCGGCCAAAAATATGCCCATTGAACCCGTATAAACCTCCCTGAAAGAGAATCCGCCCTTCGGCGTAGCCTCTTTCGGGTTCCTCCCCGCTCGAAGGCAGAGAGTTCAACCGTTCAGCCGGTCGAGATCCCGACTGGAACTTTGGTTTCAGCTAACATCAAAAGACTCTTTGTGTTAATTTTTTTGATTGGCCAAAATTATTTTATTTTTCGGCATTCCTTTCTTTTCATAACGGAAGTCACGCGTGGAGCTTCTTTGATTTTTGTTAGTTTTCACTTTTCAGTCATAAATTAGTAGACCCTGTTCCTGCAAACTTCCGGAGTTTTTATGCCGGGTTCAGTCTTTTCTTCTTCCGCTTTTTATTTGAGGAGAAGTTCAGAGAGAGAGAGAGAGAGAGAGAGAGAGAGAGAGAGAGAGAGAGAGAGATTTTTAAAAGAAATGCCTTATTTTATTTTTTTTCATTTTTATCGGGACTATTACAAAACTGTCATTATTTCAAGGCATTTCTTTTATGTCAAGAGGATTTTTTTCTCTTCCACCATGAACATTTCCACGCTTTTATGTTATGTATCATGTTAATGTTGTATTAAGCTGGACAACTGGACAAAACGTATTTTGTGCTTATCTGTAGCAACCGATGTTGTGACTAAATCTGACTACTAGTAGCCACAGCCACTATAGTTTATTAAAATGTGATTGGTCTCTATAAATAGTTCCAAGGGAATTAACTCTGCAATTGTTAGTACATCACACTTTATTACAACAGTTGAATAAATAAATATTTATTATGAGCTACTATGTTAAAAAAATAATTTAACACTAGATCCCACTAGAAGTACAAGTAAGAAACTAATGTTAAATTTAGTTGGAGTTTGTTTAAGACCAAAGTTCCAGTCGTTACAAAGGAAAAATTCCGAAGTGAATCAAAATCTTTAAGTGAATAGAAGCGTTCTGTTCTCTGAGGTAGATGTTCTTTCGTGCATTTTAAATGGGTTCCATCGCAACTGCAATTTATTAGCATCATGCTATAAATTCTATATCCAGGATGTTGCTTGATACCTAACTTAATGGCCACCTTCGACGACTTTGAAATTAATTTAATGAAATATTAGGCTATAATAATGAACTGCTACGTCATTTTAGATAAGATATGCGCAGAAAA